GTTGATGTAGGTGGGCCTCACCAATGCTGACCCTAAGTGGCTGTTGAGAGATGACATATTTAGCTTGCTTTATAAACAAAGCCCAGAATAGATTATGGTGTCATCAGTGTCATCATCAGTGTTTTCAGTTTGCAGTGGAGTCATTATCATACTTTGCGAGTGTTCAGTTCAAGCCTATATGCTGGAGAGCAACTAGCACGTAGCACTTTGCATCAGTTTGCACCATGCCTTTCCGAACACGAATCTTGAATCCAGACGCGTCAAATTCCAGCCCCACCGCTGCCACAAAGGGCTTCACCTCAAGAAGATAAGATAAGAACCATACCAGTGCTACGCCTCCAATGAATGCTCATGTCATTGAGTGCTTTAGTTGAATCAGTTGAATCAAGTTGAATCAAGTTGAATCATGTCTCAGTCAAACACACAGCACAAGACTGAAAAGAGCAAACATCACATCTCATTTCATTTCATTTCTGCAACTCCCTGCTTCCAACAAGGCCCAAACTGATTGCAGTCGTTTGCAGCCTTCGGTGATCCTTGTAGAGGCCAATTCACACACTGTAGATCTTACCTTGGTGCGGTTTCAGCTTACTGGATTCTTGTGTTTGGTGCTGCCAACAATTAAAACACACTCAAGACTCAAAACTAGCATAGGTCATAAGTCCTTAAGCTAGCAGCCAGACACGGAAGCAAGTGACGGTTGCCCAATGGATCAATTGGATTTGTCAACGCTCAAAAATACTGAAGTGGCCTATCTATCAATGCAATACCGAATGCTATACTCTGACGGCCAACGTGATACCAAAGCGCCGCCGCTATGTGTGTAGTGCTGGCAGACAGCCAAAACGCCAAGGAATTCAATGAAAATGCAGTTGGAGACTTCTGCTGCAGTTTTGAAGGTCTGTGGGTAATGGCACTGACTTGTATAGCCTTCCCAAACCTAGGCCATGTGCGCAGGTATTCAAGTATATTGTTTGCGTTTCAGAGATTTGGGTTCGAGCCTAGCATCAACATCGACATTCTGAGAACTACTGGCTGGCCAATGTTCTTTGCAGTTGAAGCTAAACCGGTATATAGCACATAGAATATAGATGTAAATTTAAATAGTAAATAGTAAATAGTTATACAAAAGAATGCATCCAGTCATCAAGCAACGAAGCCCGTAGCAAGCTTTGCGTCGTCCATGTCTTCCACTTCCCTTTGCCCTTGACCCCACTCTTGAGCGACCTATGCTTCTGCTTGCCAAGCGCCCAAGCAGCATCCTTCTGTCGCACAGCGTGATTTTCCACATACTCCTCCACCACGGACCTGACAAGCAGATTTTGATATAGAATATAGAATATAGAATGAATCATATATGAATAATGAATCATCAATAATAAATCCTAAATCTCATTTCATTTCATAATTGCATAACATAGCATCTGAGAAATGAATGGTTGACTGTTGAGGTAATATCTTAGATCCTGTGGCCTTAAATCAGGCCATCAAAAAACATACGCTCTTCCTGCTTCTTACTTCAGTAAAACTCATGACTCATGACTCTGACTCAAAAATCAAAAACATCCTTATTTCAGCTGAACCTTACTCTTGAACCGTGACTACTTTATTGACTCTGTCCCCAGCTTCTCAACCCAGTCCTGAACCGGCTCAGTTTCTTGTCAGCGTCCCGCCGAGCATGAGCTAGCTGCCTGCCTCAACATCACAGGAACTCATCTTGCAATTTGTTTGTATTTGTATTTGTCAAAAAAAGTGATTGCTGTGAACCCTATGACTTGCCTACATTACAGGACTATGTCACTCATGGTTCGATCTTCAGATAAGATTGTGGCTCTAACTCTAAAGACTCTACAGTGTTGTCTCTAGAGTCTAGAGTTTTCAAGTTGTACCTTCAGCTGAAGCGTTTGTTTTGCTTCAGCGACCATCCTCCTTTGCCCCATTACCAAGCTCTCATTTTAGCTGAGTGCTACCCACAGTGCTTGACATCTAGGTTCAAGATGCCAGGCTGCACAAAGCCAAATTTGGTTGGACGCTAATGAAGTCCAAGTCTATTGAATTTGAATGATCATGAAATTGAAACTGGGATTGTCGCCGCCAACTAGCATCCCGCAGAAACAGAATTTGGTAGAAATCTTGGAAGTGCCCAAGAATTTGAAGAGACACCTCAGAAAACATAAACAGAGTGGAACTGCAAAATGGGACTCAAGCAAGCTGATAGCTGGCCTGCAAACTGCTATCGCTACTCTTGTAAAGTAGAGCAGCTCCAACATGCCATGATGCTGTCATTCCATCTGACATCAACCACTCTAGCTACTCACACAGCTGCGGCTGCGACGCTTGCAAGGAGGCGTGGTGAAATCTGGATCCTGAAAGGCTCCATCTTGTGTCTGGAATCTTTTCTTTGAGCGCTTTGGCGCATCAGGTGTTTTGCGACCTGTCTCCGTGTCTGCATGATTGCAGCGCTTAGGAGTCAACAAACTCCAAACCAGATTTGCGGGACCAGACTTCTGCTCAGCAACCAATGGAGTAGTAGCCCGTTGGCTCGATGAAGATGGCTGTGGCAGTCGCATTGGCATTGGTGATGGGATGCCCCCATCTTTCAAAACCTTCTTGACCCACCGTGTTCTTGTTTCAGTCTGCGGCGTCGAGACTTCCCCCTTCAACTCTCTGATTGGGCTTGGAGTTTGGGCTTCCACAAGCTCGTACTTGGCAGGGTTGCCAGGAGCAGGGTAGCCTTCCGTCATGATTTGCCGACACTGAACAATGAAAAACAAGCAAAGCAAAGTCAAACTATTGCTTGGGCCAAAACAAACTGCAGTGCTGCTGGATTCCACAAATGCCTGGACTCAATTATTGAATGACCATGAATCACTCCTGACGTCTTCAAACCTAACTTGACTCGTTCAATCAAATCTCACGCAACCCACTAATAGCCAAGCGAGTTGCATTTTTTGAGGAAGGCTCTGGCTCTGATCCGAGGCTCGCGATCAGAAGCCGCTTGGCGGACAATTCCATCAGGATTGGCCATCGACAGTTCAATGAAAACTGAAAACAAACGTCGACAGTTCGGGAGCTGCAGTTGAGTTACAGTAAAGTTGCAACTACTTGTCATTCATTGGCTGTTAACAATTTCTAATTGATGATTGAAGTGAAGACAAGATGTCTTTTGGGTTGTGGATCTGGTTGGTGAGTAGTTGTATACAGGTACCAATATAATTGGTTTGATTCGATATGATATGAATATGTTCAACCTTGGCAGCTAGAGACATGCTAGACTCTTGACTTTCAACTCTTGTCTCTTGTTTGTGCCTCTCCGCTATTCAAGTTTGCATGAATGGTGGTGCGAAGGCGAGCAAGTCAAGCTGCTAGTCGAAGAAGACTAAGAAGAAGACAGTGTTTAGTTTAGTTTTAGGACCGGAAAAAATCAAATGGTGAGAAGAAGACCGTGAATGCTAGGAAGTCCTCAACTATTTTTTGGAATTCATGGCTCATTTCAATGAGACCTTGATTGACCTTCAGCTTCGAAAAGTAACAAACCAACAAAAGAACTCCAGACACAAGACTCCAAATGCAGTTTGCAAGATGCAAGAAACTAAACATAAAGCAACAGGCACCTGCACACATTTGCACACTATATGATTAAATTTGTATGGTATGTCTACACTACTACAAGAGCATTGTCAATTGTGTGCTCCACCATGCACACTGTGTGTACACATTGTCCGCCCCACCGCGCACACTGTATGTACGCATTGCGCGCCCCACCGCGCACACTGCATGTACGCATTGCGCACCCCACCGCGCATACTGTACGTACGCATTGCGCAACCCACCGCGCACACTGTACGTACGCATTGCGCAACCCACCGCGCACACTGTACGCACGCATTGCGCAACCCACCGCGCACACTGAACGTACGACTACCCGAACCCAACCGCGCACATACCGTACATATGTTCCATGAACCTATGTTTCATGGCTTTTGAATTTAGCTAAATTGATCTAAATTGAGTTCCATTTCATGCGGCGTGCTAGCCTGGCCCCGGAAATTCACAAGGTTCGGGCCCCGAACGCTCCGGCCTCAACGCGCTTGGGCGCTGAAGATTCGGGCCCCGAACTTCGCTTCAGAGTTTGGGCCGCCACTACGGCCCGCAGGCAGCAATTACTCCTATACCACTACTACTGCCACTATATTGGTGCCATTTTGCCAAAGTGTTCATTCATGCTCTGGGTGTACCAGTCGGGCCCCGGAAAATCCTTTGGGTTCCGAGCGCTCGGACCCCGAAGGCTTGGGCCCCGAACTTCCCTTTAGAGTTTGAACGACCACTAGTCACTAGCTACATTCAATAGCAGCGATACTGTTACAGTCGCCAGGGCTGTTACCACCACAGCTAAAGTTGACAAGCAGGGAGAGAAGTGGAGACGAGTGTAACAACTTTTTGGCCAAGTGCGTCCAGAGGAATCCGGCCAAGGGCATCCATCCAAGCAAGGAGACAAACAAGGAGACAAGTGGAGCCAAGTGTAAAAACATCTAGCCGAGTGTACCCAGGGTAGGCAAAGAAAACATCAGCCGAGGAACGAAAGCCGGAGACAGTGCCAAAATCATCCGGCCCAGGCATGCAACCCTTTAAAAAGGAGTAAGAACCCCATATATACAGGTCATACAGGTAAACCTGTTTGGAGAAACAAGTCGAACAAAAGAATACTTTATATACCCTGCCTGGGCGCTGCAAAAGCAGTAGCAACTAAAGATGTGTCCAATATAATATAATCAATATACAAACCCGAGAATTCCACACTTGCAAACGCGCTTGAAACCTTGAACCTGGACTGTGTTTCAGCAAAACCTGCTTCCCAGAAATGACAGACAAATTAACGGTGGCCCTGGAGCCGACACCCTTGTCCTTGTTGTTGTCGTTGTTGTTGCTTGTTAGCTGATCGTATCTGACTCTATGGACTGCGGCGGACTGATGCACACCGAACGCTTGGTGGGACCCTCCTGCAGCTCTTCATCCCGCAAATCCTGCACGTGCACCACCTCGGCGAGACCGGGCGATCTCACAACCGTCCCTTCCGAATTGCGGACCCGAGGCCGCCGAGTTGAGGACATGTTCGGGTTCCCAGCCCTTGCTGCGCAGGAAGCTTCACTTTCTTGACTGGGGTCAGGAACCCTTGCTTCTGGATAGTGTTGGCTGGCCCCCGTGCTTCTACACCTGGCTGAGGCATTGGCTCCTTTTTTGTTCTTCTTGGCTCCACCTTGCAGAAGTTGCGCCACCGTGGGCAAACCAACCTGCCCTCCTTTCCTAGACTCCATGTCTATGGTGGCATCCGATCAAGTCCTGCCCGCGCCCTAGAAAGCAGCCACCTGCCGGCTGCCAAACTCTCCAAGAAAATGATTTCCGTGTGGTCTGTCAATGTATGCAAGATTCTTATTTTTGGGGCTGGTAACCAGCGGCTGGTAAGCCACTTCATGTCATGAAGAAGCACGGAAGACCACCTCCATACATGCTGCCAAAGCATGGAGTGCGTTGAATTTCCAGTGTTTTGGCAATGCGCATACCCTTCATAATAGTGCCAAACATGTTAACACGAGTCTCACAAAATTAGGTGCATTCTTTCACAGACTCAACACTCTTCATATCTTCCATCCACCATTGGACGTTGGAAACTCTCACGAAGTCACTCCCAGTTCATCCCGAGGCTTCCCCACCTACATCAGCTTCTTTTGGCTGTTCAACTTCCTGTCCTCGGCAGACCCTTACGCTGAGAGACGTCTGAGTCTTAGATGATCTTGGGCTCCAATGCGTATTGATTGTTTTTTTTGGTGCCTTTTGAATGCTTTTGAATGCTCTTGTGCGCTCCCCACCTCCACACGGTAGCCGCTTGCAAACAAAGCAAACCAAACGTGCGCAAGCGGGAAAGAATCCAGGACCGGGCGCCCAGGCCGCCCAGGCTACCGCCCTCGGCTTCGTCCTCCTCATCGCGGCGCCGCTTTTTGCCCATGGCACCCCCCGCTCCGCGCCGCTCCTCGCGCCCGGAGGGGTGCGCCACTAAGCCGAGCCGCGGTGAGGAGGCCGGGAGTTCAAGTCACACACCGGCCAAGGTGCAACACGTCTAACAAAGCCAGGGATGTTAAATGTTAAGGATTGATTCCTTATTCTTTTTTTACACTTCTCACGAAATAGAAGCATGCCTCACAACAAATAAGGGACACGGCTCCCGGTATGGGATGCCGATCTTCATGCTAGCAACAAGAATGGATAGCGATAGTTTGAGTAGCTTTTTGATCAGCGCAGTGCGGTCTGCTATTCACATTCCTTTGGAACGTAAATCTGTCATGCAATTGCGGCGCAGCAGCCTCTCTTCGCGCAAGGCAGTGGCTGATCTTTGACTGACGACAAAAGAACTACGGGAGCCGATGCCGGAGCCAGGCCAAAAGTCGGTCATTCAGTACTTGTCTACGTCCAGGCCTGCCATGCAACAATGATGAACTTGGGCCACATGTCGGAAATGCGTCCAAAGCCATTTTTGCTTATTCCAGGCTGGTCAACCTCATATGCCACAGCCAGATCTCTACCATTCTGTGCGCGCCTCCCGGCTTGCTCTGGAGTTGCCCTCAGCACAGGCGGGACAATCTTTGTATATATATATAGAGAGAGATTTGCTCACCGCAGGCAGCGTGCCATTCTGCAAATGCGACATGACACCAACGACTCCCTTACCCAGCTGTGGGCGGGCTCAGTCTTTCTTCCAAACACGGCAAACAACCGAGTCCCTGTGCTGATGCCGTGGTCCAGTTGGAGCCAGAACCCGCGGCCGCGGGCACTCGAAAGTCCTGCCACATCGGGGATTGCGCAGTAGCGCTGAGGGAGCAGGTGAACAAGCTACCAAGCACCCTGACACAATCTGTGCTGTGGTCCTTCTAACTTTTCGGGACTATCATAGGAAGGCAATGGGAACAAAGGCAAGTCAAGAGGTTCAAGAAGACTGCCGAAAAATGTTCCTCTCGAAGATCGAGGCAGAAATTTGATTTTTTGGAACGATTCTCCGACTCAAGGAGTGGCACATACTCTGGCAATCTACTGCTGACACCACGGCCTAGCTTACGACTGGAAGGCGGTTGGGAGATGCGTTTCACTTGCCACCCCTTGCCACCCAAACTCCAACAGCACTGCCCAGCCTCTGTGTCAGGAGCCTCAGAAGGTTTCTCCATGGGATGTGGGGTCAAGAGATCAAAACAATTCAAAACATGTCAAACCCTGTAATTCCCTCCGCACCAAATTCAATCGAAACCAAGGTTCTTCAAGTCCTCTACTGGCGGAAGGGCGATGAAGGGACCATGAAGGACCCAAGCAAACCAAAGCCTGCCAACCTCCTCTCAGACATCAAAGCCCCCCAGCCGACACGGGCCGCAGCTGCAGCTGCTCGTCCGGCGCCAGAGTCGCCAATGTGCGAAGCTCGGCGCCACCTGCGCCAGCTTCGCACCAGCAAATCATGCACGTGAAGCCAATCCATGGATTTGCTTTGCTGACTGGCTTCAGAGAACCAATTGCAACGACGCCTTGCACCAAAAGGATCCAAAAGGTCTCTGGTCTTTGCTTCAATTGGACTCATGCGTTATCTACTCAGACTCTTCATGTCGTCCAACGGATTTAGGCCAATTAGGTCAATGGCCTCCGGGAAACTTGGCCCCTGAGAACACACAGAATGTATTGTGCAAATGCTCATTTGGCCACATGGATCTTCATCCCACGCCCGCTATGCCCCGCTGTCATGCGAAAACAAAAGCAAAAAATAATCACGTCTGTATACAAGTGGCTTTGACCAACATATATACGGGTACCTACAATTATTGTAATTACAGTAGATACTGGGTGATCTGCGCTGGACATCTTGCACTGCATGTTTGGAAGCCCCATTTGCCCAGTACCCCAATGATCTTCCCCCGCACCTCGCTGCTCAGCTGGAAGGCTTGAGCCCTCACTCTTCCCACTGGGTGGACGTGTGCTCTCCTCTGCATCCAAAGCACGCTGCTTCGGAAGGCTCCTGAACCCCAGAGCTCTGCGTCTGGCCAGAAGTAGCCGCTTAGCATATTGCTATACTATAGGGACAAGTCTGAGTGCTCTGCACACATGCAGCAGCAGTACAAAATTCGTAGTTGTTACATACAGTAACTTTTTTTACAATGTGTAAGGTGTACGTAGATGTTTATAACATTGACAAACTCAGATCTCGGGCCAAAAAGTATTTGTTGCAATTCCTGCCTAATTCAATAGGCTACGAGTACTGAAGTACAGCTGACCAGTCATGGGCCGGTCATGCATGCTTGGAAGAATCGTTGAGTGACAGCCAAGGATGTCCCAATTCCCAATTGCAGCCCTGAAGCATGAACTGAGCCACCCATCCAAACTGAGGGTTGAGGTTCTGCCACCCTTCAGTCGCACCTCAATTCATTTCCAAAGTCTTCGTTGATGATGCGGAAGTCCACGCAAAAAACATCCTGCATCCAAAAGGTAAACGGTAAATGTGTGTTCTCTCAGCATTCGGATCCAGTGCTAACAGGATGTCCATCCTGCCAAGTGGCTAATCCGTCTGTCCGTACTAGACTAGCACCAAAAGATCCAAAAGTTTCAAAAGAATCACAGTTTGCTTAACTAGCACACTGAGGATTGACTGGGACCACACGTGTCTATGACCCCAACCCCCTGAAGAAAAGGTCCTTAGACTTGCACGTCGCCCGCCCCAACCAGTCCATGGCCGCTGTCTCCTGACGAAGGGCCAGGGCAAAGCTTATACCCAACAAACATCAACAAATCTAAAGGTAGTTTAAACGGTAATAAACAGGTAGTTGTGAACAACCTCGACTAACCTACAGCTCTTATACTCAACTAACCTTATATTTACAAATGTTATTCTCAAGGTAGTTGTAAATCTAAGTTGCGCCTTTCAAGAGCACACGCCAACGCGTGACGTCCAGCCTTCCAGCCCGTAACGCCGTAGCGCACCAGGACCCCCAAAAAAGGCGCCTCACTGAGCCCCACCTCTTTGGCACCGGCAATCCCAACTGCAAACATCACCAATGCATACCAGCTTCCAGCTTTGGGGTGGCCCGAAACGTGTCATTGTACATCACGGATCATCACGGCAGCTTATTATATAACTAAACTAAAAGTGAAAGAACATGTCACACTGCAATTGTAGTGGGACACAGCTGGACGATAGAAGATTTCAACGGTCCAAATTTCGCTCCATTATATATATATATATATATGTGCTCGCTGGTGCCGCACCCTAAGCCCAATGTTTTTGATGTTGTCGGCCATCGCCTCAAAGCGTTACTCGCGCCAGCGAGCGCTGTCCCTCCTCTGTGCGCGTCACCAGGTTGACCGCCAAGGCCCGGTGCTCTCGGCTGAGCTCCTCGCAACAAGTCCTCAGGCAGCCTCGGCGAATTGAAAGAAATGAAAGAAAGCACACGGTGAATTATGATGACTGTTGTATCACGTGAATTATACAACATTAGAAACTTGAATCTGCTGGAGGTATGCTTCGAAGAGATGATATGGTCTTCATATTATATGTGCTCATGGTTGCCGGAGGGCACAGCTGTGACATCTTATTATGTAGAAATACTGGAGCGATCTGGAGCGGTTTTTGGGGTGGTAGAACGAAGTATATAGGTACCATGATTCGTCAATTTGGAGGGCATAGGCATAGATCTAACAGTTGGGAAACTAGTTGGGAACTTTATTGAACAACTCCTCTCCATGAATTAGTAACTACATTCAACCCCGAACATCCTGGCCGTATGGCCATGTTTGTCCAAGGTCCTGACCCATGATGTCTTGCAATAATCTCTGATGCTTGCGCCAATGCTTCCTGGGCATGGCTCGCGTGGGGCGTAGCGGGCGTACGGGAGTCCGGAGGGCTGGGCTAGCGTGGGTCTAAAGCCCTCCTTGGCTGCATTGAGTGTCAGAAAGGAAAGGTCAAAAACATGAAATGCCACTCCAAAGAAAAATTACCCAAAAAAGGTCTGGAGGACTCCATGTCTCTTCCCCTACAAAGTGGGGGGTACTCTCGTGGTGGGGTATATAAGTACAAAACTGGGTCCAGGTGTTTCTTCTTCTTCTACTTCTGATTCTGCTTCTTCTTCTGGGGTCTGTATAAATCTGCAACTTGTAGCGCCACCAAGGCACATCAGCAGAATCCACATGACAGTCCAACCGAAGAGCGCCAAGGCAGGCGGTACAGCCAACAATCCCACACCCAACGCCGCATCAATCTGCAGGACATGCAGAAGGACCTGGGCGTCTTGATCTCCAACATGGCTGAAAAACAAAAGGTGACAACATGATTTGCCGCGCAGTCCAGTCACTAGGAAGTTTCCGCAGTATCTATATATACCGCTTTTTGAGCAGCCATAGCTGGGAGAGTTTGCACGAAGGCATAAGAAGGCCTTTGGAATTCCATTAGTGATCGTTGATGGAACGCCGAAGAAAACCCATAAAGGAGGAACGCCCTGTACTATGGTGCTCTGGGCATGGGGCATAGCGGGCCGCGCGCTTATGTGCCAAATCAAGCAATCTCTCCCTCGGAGCTTGGCTCTGGTCATTCCAAGAACAGAGTGACAAGCAGTCAGTTCCTCCCTGTATTGAGGATTTGGTAGGTTTGCTCAATTGACGTGCTGCTATGTCCTGCTTGGGTATTTTTCCTCGTGAGTGGTCGCACATGTCACAAACGCCAAAACCTACTGGGACTGAACCATATCTATAATCATAAACCTTGTGGATTTCCCTCCCAAGCCAGTCACCTCAGTTTCCATAAGAAGTGCAGAAAGCCATACAAAGCCAGGTTGAACCAGTAATAGATGGTGGGGTTCGCTTGCCAATACCGTGTTCTTGGTGTCTTGTGTGACCTCGGATATGGGTTGAACCCTCTCCTCTCTGAGGTGCCATGGCAACGCAGGAGCTCACCAACGAAGTGATGCCCAACAAGGTCGGGATGCCTTGGAGGCTTGCTTCTCGGAGCGGTTTGGAAGAGGCAAAAAATGCTCAGTTCGGAAGACTTGCCAGTAACAAGTGCATCGCTATTAGAAACAAGTGCCTTCCTAGTAGTAACAATAAGAATTTAATTCTACCCTCAATCCATCTCTTAGCTTCCCCCGTCGCGCTTCGGCTCGACACGGTATGGCCCCTCCCCCCCAACAAAAATAACAGAACAGGGGACCACGGGCGTCCCGAAAACACGATAAAATTGTGATTTTAAATAACTAAAGATATAGTGAAAACACAGACATTCAGTCAGCAAAACAAACACAGTATCAAAAACACATTGCACAACAAACTAATTAGTAAACAATTATTAAACGACACATCTGTTCAAGACATATAGGAAAACAAAATTTGCATTCTATATTTCAAACAAAACAATAAAATTGTATTCAAAAAAACATGAAATACAACTAAGACTATCAAGTTTGGGGGGGGTCGGGTCGGCCGAAAAATATTTATTTAAAAAAAAACACTACATAAATAGCTTCTTTTTTTTTTTTGCCGACCCCCCTTGCTGGGGCCCACCCGGGCCCCACCCTCTCGATCCGCAGGAAATATTTGAATAGCACCATTGATAGTTAGTATATCTGTTCCATTCCTTAATCCTTTGATTGCTAAATAACTAGTAGTTTTGCCAATCCTTACACCGCTTTTAGAAATATAGTTCTAACTGCATCTCTTGACCTACTCCTCCAGTAGTCCAACAGTCAATACTTTTACCATCACCAATTTCAAAGTATCCATGTACAGTATCTTCAATGGTTAGCGCTAAACCATTTGCTTTTGTATATTTATGTTAGCTTCTCTAAATCAATTGTATCTAATGTAGTTAGGGTTATGTAATCTACTCCGTTCCTTTGTATTAGCAGATTTGCATTATCTGTAGCATTATAAATATATAACCAGAAAAAGCAATACCTGAAACAATGTTTGGTCATATCTCATATATTCAACCTCTGAACTTACACCATCAGAATTAGCACCAAAAAACGGTATCATTTTCTAATGACCTTCTCCTGATATTGTTTGCATATAAATCACCTGTTGATACTCATGGAATTTGCTACATTAACAATACTATTAGCACTATCCAATGTAAAATATTCAACTCCGTTTCTTCTAAATGAAATATCGTTATCACCACTGCTATTCAGTATATTACAATTCAATTGAGTTTATATATCCACACTGGCAGGGGACATTGTAATGCTGGAACTAGTAGAGTCAATAATAATATATGGGTTTGTTTCATCAAGGTTTCAAATCCTCCATACATTCAACCCCCTTCAACTCCCTCAAATAACTTACTTTTACCTCTTCCGTTATTTGGTTGTAATATGTTATTCAATAAGTTTATGTCAGGGGATGCCTGAAATTGCATATACTCAACACCATTTCTAGACATCACTCAATTTGCATTAGTTATTAAACTATCAATAGTATTTGTGTTAAAAACGTTTTCTATTTGTAGTTCCTGTTTCATTTCTAGGGTTGAATTGGTAAAGGCACACCTCATATACTCTGTGATATTGTGCGTCCAAGTTGTATCTGCTGTAAGTTTGTCGCATTAAACTGAGTTGTATTTACGGCATTTCATGTTAAACCTACTGTATTGACAGCAGTTGCAGTGAATGCAGGATTTGCTAGATTTGCTTTTGCTGTCAGCGCTGTATGAACTTCAGTTTTAGTGTATGTTGTTGCCTGGTTTGCTTTCAATGCTAAAAACAACATCCAATGTATTAAGAATATGGAATGATAGCACCGTCAATAGTCCTATTACAATTTTAGGAGCAGGGGCAGATGCTACTATGTTATTAATATATCCTACCCTTGCTGAAGCAAAACAACCTACAAAATGTAATACCTACAATACTAATGGTGATTTTAATATGTTATTGCAACAGAATGGAACAACCCGTGCTTATTACGACAAGGATGATGTCAGTTATATGTCTAGAGTTTTTAAGATCAATGTTGATGTTGTTTCTGGATAAAACATTACTTGTGTAGCACTTACAGAGACGACCGACAAAAGATTAGAAGCGCAAATAGAAAATGTTGAAACAGGATGCAGTGAGTTAGTGAACAAGATTAAGGTAAGGAAATGCTACATGAAAGGAGACAAAAAGAAACATAATATATTGCTGATGAGATTGAAGAAACCATACCGCCCGACATGGAAAACATAGTTAATTCTGACAATGAATACAAAAGCGTCAATTATGGTAGAATGACAGCAGCCTTAAGGGAAACAGTCCAAGAGCAAAACATTGAAAGAATAGATAAACTTGAAAATGAAATAGCTGACCAAAAACGCAAAGGTAAGGATAAGGCACCAAAAGCAAACCTAAAGCCAAAGCATCAGAAAGTTAAAGATACAAAGTAAACATAATATACACAAATGGTAAATATGATTGAAACAGGCAGAAAGAAAAGAAAATGCGTACATCAACAAACCAAAGAATTGTAAAGTAGGTAATGATGAAATTAACACTGAAATATCATTAAACAATATTGTATTAGCAAAATGTTTAAAAGAACTGATAGAAGAAGTAGAAGAACTACAGGAGAGAGAAAAAAATAATGCATTTTGTCCAGCCTAAACTTGATTGTATCAACTTTAGTCTGCTGTGAGGTTAATATATTATTTAACAATAATATCATCATAATATCATCAATCTTGGCGTTGCAAATATTTACCAAAATTATTCATAAACATGTTTTTGTTGTACAAATTTTGGCGCCCGGTCATCTGACAAGCATCTGATCCAAAAGCATCTTTGTCAAAAAAATACCATATCATATATATACATAAACTGGGTACAAATCACATGGGAGTTATGGCGTCAAGTGACACAAGGAATAGAGTCGGTAAGTCCTAAGTCATGTGAAAAACTAAGAAGTAGCTAGTTAATGTTTAATTCTTAGTTATTTTCCTGCTCTAATTCCTTCAGCTCCTGTCTTTCCTTGATGTTTCAAGAGTTTTGAGGACATTTCTTAACATTTAAGATTTTTGGTAAATCGGGAAAACGCTTTTTGTGCTGTTGGGAGCATGCATGAGTGTCACAACTCCCATCTCATCCTGCTCTGCCTGTACTCACCTAACGGTTTGGTACCCACACGTTTTTCACACGACTTAGGACTTACCGACTCTTGTATTGGGTTGCGTCGGCAATCTGGAGACGCTTTGCATTATCTTCTTTTTGGTTCTTTTGCTTGATGACATGGGATTTAACAGCAGGAGGGTAAGGCAGATGACTTGGGAATGTGTGAGTGCCCATGTATGTTTTCTAAATCCCATGTGATCTGCACCCAGTTATATTATATATGATATTTATTCAGAGGACAATCTTCAAATCTATATGTTCCATGAATCATTTGTTTTTTTGGGGGGGGGGTTTGTCGTGAACAAAATAGAATAACAAAAAAACTAAACATGTTTTATGAAGAATTATGAATTGTATGAATAGTGACTGTGTTTATGATATATTATTTAAAAATCAGGTCTGTTGAGATGTTTGTTGAGATGAGCTGATGACCTCATAAAAACAACTATGAAATGAGAAAACATGGGACGCCCACAGCACTGTCGCGCCGTCGCGTTGTCCACATCGGCGGAGTGGCCGCGGGTGCTCCGGAGCCGCTGCCGCGTGAGCTTCTCGCGCTTCAGCGCTTGGTTCATGGCCTCGCGGAACCTCCGAACGGCGGGGCACGGCGGAACCGGTGCATCACGACCAGGAAAAGGAGGTCCGTTGACATACGATGCGGTTCATAGACGGAACGTGCTCCAGCCCATCATGCTCGTACCCTCAATGGGGCTGAAGGGTCAACCTTTTAAAGCAAAAGCTACAAAAAAGTGGGCATGTCATGTCGCTTGAACACAATATTTAGGCCAGAAAATTGCATCTAGGAGGTGAGGGTCCCTCCCCTCTTGATAGCCGATGGAGATCCATGGAGAAGAAATGAACAATACAGCAACCCCGTGGGGCAGGCTTGTCACTGCTGGAAAGCCGGTGAGACCTGCCCCTGCCGATGGGAGAACAGCGTCCCAAATCATCTCAATGCTTTAACAACATGCAGTTGGGTCTTGGTTTTGCAGGGGGATATCTTATCATATCTGAGACGCATGAGTCGTGTTCAGATAAGATGCTGGTTGCCTTGTTTGGGATTCTTTGGGGAGGGACAGGGGGCTAAAGGCCAAGTGAGCTCTGGACAACATCGAAGAACCACTGCAGCAGTCAGCCTGTTCGATTTGCAGCACTTTTTCAGGCAAGTGGCCCTTCCCATGCCACTAGCGGCAAGTGCGCCTTCAGCCTTCAGAGATGCCGTGCGCAAGAAAATGTGTTCAGGTGTGCACCTGTCACCCTTTCATCGTCAATCAATCCATCGAAAGGTTTCAAATCAATTTTAGCTCAGTCACTGAAACGGCAACTCTTTCGGCAGCTGACCACCCCCAGTCTCACTGGAACGCTTCTCGGCCTGCACATGCAAAATCAAATTGAAATGCTTCAACTACAGTAAATTGAACTCACCCATGACACGCATGCAAACTCTTGGAATGCACCATGGCAACTGCAAAACATGGAATTAATGAAGCAAATGATTTCAGCACGAACATTTCACACGCCTGCACCTTCACCAAAGGAGCTTTGTTCGCCATGACCTGCCCCGAGCGCACGCGGCGCGAGTCCAACCCGCGGTCAATGGCGGTAACAACCCGCCTTTCTCAGCATCTGCCAGGTCGGCCGGGCGAGGAGGCCTGGCTGCTTCGGTCTGTCAGGAGAGCTTCTTTGAGAGCTTGGTCCTTTGTCTGAACATGACGGGATCGCCTGAAGCGCCATGGATATGGCGCCACCCGCGGCCAGCAGCCCGCCGGGCCCTCTCCCACTTTGAGCCAGTGGTCCCAGCGAGACATCAAAACTATATATAAACCGTTCCGATGTCATAGTGAATGAGGAAAGTTCGGCTCCAAAGAGATTCCACTAGTTTTTCTTGGGATCTGGCCACCCTCACTCCCTACGAGTTGCATCGGTTATTGAAAATTTTATGCTCATGGTCACCGTGGTGACCATGGTCCAAGCGTGTCCATGACTGTCCGCATTGAGAAGGACTTTGCAACATGTTGCAAAACTGTGTGTGCGTGAACATTGTTTATCTCATGTTGGAATGGGACTGATGGGAAGTTGCTCCACAAAGCGCTGAATTTGAGAGCATCATGTTGGAATGGGGTCTTTGTTCGCTACTAGAATGTAGCTAGAAGCTACTAAGTTTGAAAATAAAGTTTCGACGTTTCGGAACGCCTTTTCTCCCTTGAGCCAAAACACGTCATGAGTCACGTGTCTGCAGTACTCTAGCGGAGTATATATGGGCTGTACATACAAACACTCCTCCTCTTGCAAAGCACTGTACTGCTGCGCAAGCTTAAAAGGAAACATGTGAAACTCTTCGCTGCTTAGCCACTTTCAGTTGTGGTAGTGGAGCTTGGCCAGGGACCTTACTCCAAAACATCTAACTGTCCTTTGCTTCGCTTGCTGAGAAATGCATATTGCAGGTCCTCCATGGTTTTGCGAAGCTGCACCCCAGGTACCGATTTGGTCAACACATCGGCTTTGTTCTTGACACCTGGAACGTGGTGCACTTTCAAGTGGCCCTCGGCGACCCTTTCTTGCAACCATAGGTAGCGAGTCTGGATGTGTCTGGCTTTACCCAAACCCACTCTATTCACAGTTCCTTTGGCTGCATTGGAATCGCCTTCGATGGTGACTCCCAAATCCAAACCAAGGTCTGCGCATAGGCTTTGGAGGCCTAAGCCCACAGATCCTCCCTTCACAAGTGCGTAGTATTCACTCTCACCTGTAGAAAGGGCTACAGTGGATTGGATGTTACTACTGTGTTTCAACACGTGCATGCCGTACATAGCAACCATGCCAGTCGTGCTTTTGCGCGTCACAGCGTCACCACCATGGTCGGCATCGACCTGCACCCTCAGCCTTGAGGGTGTCTGTTGTGAGCCAAAACATTGCCCAACATCAGGGTATTTCTTCAAGTACCTGATGAGACGCTTCAAGTCAGCAAGTTTGGCTTCTGTTGGTGATACCATACCTCGAGCAAGGTTCTTGACTGCGCGCCCAATATCAAGTCGATCTTGGGACAAGTACGCAGCACGCATCGTTGCTGAACGATACTTCGATGCCTCGCTCTTGTCAAGCAGCGGACTGCGGCTTTCCAGCATCTGCTGATCTGCCGACTTCTTGACATCTGGTGATTCCACACCATTTGCCTTTTCCAGGCCAAATGCCTGGATCAAAAGATCAACATGTCTCCGATCGGCTTCGATCACAATCGATCCTTTACCGTTCTTCTTTTCGACTCGGATCAACCGATTCAGAAAATGGGCTTCTGTTCGGTGTCCATCCTCGTCTCCAAGAATTCCGAGACATTTCAGCTCATAGGCATCTTTGAGGACTTGGCTGAGCTTCTCCAAGTGTTGGGCGTCTCCAAGCGCTAGGAAGTCATCTCCATGCACCATCACTCTGACGTCCCAAGCTTCTTGGTAGAAGACTGACGCATTTGACAAGCCTCTGCGGAAACCAGCCTTCTGCAGAGTCTCTGTGTAGTGCGTCTGCCAGATATTTGGAGCGTCCTGTGTTCCATACATCGACGTCACAAGAAGTCCACAGGTTTGCCCATCTTTGCTGGCTTCGTCCTCAGGCGGCAGCTCTATGTAGATCTTTCTCTTCGGAGTTCCATAAAAGTGTGCTCGTGAGATGTCCCACAAGCCCAGCTTCAGCGGCTGGTTGTGGCAGGACTTCCTCTTTGTTGCCCACAACGAGCACAGCAGTCTCATCGCCTCCAATGGGGGCGTGCTGCTGAAAAGCAAGTTGGCTGGCAATTGTTCTTCTTTGGTCTTTCTTGCCTTTATCTCACGCACAACTAATCGGCTCCTATAGTTCGGGTTTGTTGGATCTCCCTTGTTGGTGTCCAACCATCTGACTGGAATCGGGGGCTTCCCCGTTTCCTCAAAACATTCGGCTCTCGGCCGGGGCACATAAACACCATGCTTTTCTTTCAAATAATCCATTTCAAGGCGTCTTGCCTCTTTCACTTTCTCGGCTGGCAAAATGCCGCCGTTCACATCATCCATGTAGACTTCTTCGAACTCAGGTTCCATCAGAGGCATCTCTGGAACTGGGCCTGCTGCAAACAGATCAAAGGTGTTCAACTCACCTTTCTCAGCTAGTGTGTCACGCAGGCTCCTCAGCACTGCTTTCACGAGCTGCGGCGGGTATACCGCTGCCTGCCTAGCAATGCCTCCGATCAGATGGATGTGTCGGTGCCATGGTCCTTTGCCCGATTCATTCGAGCAGACTCCTTGCAATACTCTGGCCAACCCTTCATCGTTGGTCATCCAACCGGTCTCCTTTCTCACATAGCCGGTGCCTTGGAGTCCTCTTCGGTCGGTGGCCATCATCTGCCACCTGCACATTGGACCCTTCACTATGAACACTCCATCTTCCTTTGCTAAGGCCGCAACTTTCTCATCCTTCCAACTAGTTGCGGACCAAGGTGCCTCGTGGAGGAATTTTCTTCCTGAGCGATGCTGCTTGGCATACAGCTCTACGCTCGTATGAAGGTGGTGGACGGCTTCGTCCATTTTCCTCCTCCGGACATCCGGTGCCATGCTTCTCCAGTTGAGGTTCTGGAGCTGTGAGAACATATGGCACGGTGGCGAACCAGTCAAAAGCGCCGGTTCGTCCTTCTCAAGGATGTCATGCACCTCTTGAACATCTTCGGACTTGTTCAAGTCCCAGTATGTTCCGTCACTTTTCATTTCATTCAAGTCGACCGCAAAACCCGGTCGCAACTTGTAGCGCTCTGCAAGCGCAGTGAACCTTTTGGGCGAGTAGATCTCCATGATATCTACTGCTGACATCTGCATGCTCAAATGAGCGATGTCTCCGATCTGTTGCTCAGAGATAGCGATGCCATTTGCCTCATAGGTTCCTTGAATGATCTTCTTCAGATGCTGCTTTGCGATCTCCTTCTCTTTTACCAAGCTGGCTGCATCTGGCTTCCACCCTGCTGGTGGTGTTTCTGGAACATGTGAAAACTGAGACGTTTTCTTTGGACTCTCTTCCACTCTGGGATCAAGGTCTTCTACGGCGGTCTCTGCTGTCCTCTTTGTTCCTTGGGCTGGATTCGGCTTGACCTTTGGCCCAGGTGGATCTATCCTGAGCTCTCCTGTTCTCTTCTTGGGCTCTGTTGCTACCTTGGCTTTTGCCACTGGCTTCTTCTCTATCTCTGCTGCTTGCCTCTTCATCTCATATCTCTCTTTTGGGTCATCGGGATAGGTTTTCTCACCCTCTGCCGCTGTTGGCGGCGGGCTTCCCGACCCTGCGCTCTTTGCTTCTTCTTTCTTCTCTGGCTCTCCGGCCGCGTCTTCGGCCGGGATGTCAGTGTCCTTGTCGGCCACGACTTTCGGCTTCACAGTGTCAAGCTGTTGCCTTTCCTTTCTCTTCTTTGCATGGGCTTCAAGTCTCGCTTGCCCAGCTTCATCCTTTTCCATCGCTTCGGTGATCCTTGCTCTGCACGCCTCTGTGTGCGGCAAGGTCGTTCTCTTGTCTTCCAAGATGCACCTGCATCCTGGGCAGCCTTCTGTGGCTCCATGCTTGTGCACATCTTCTCTCCTGATGTACACTCGCCTCTGCTGTGGTGGTGCCACTCGTTCCTCCTTGGGAGGTGGTACCACAAGGCGCTCTTCGAGCATCAGCTGCTCACCGGCAAGCCTTGCCGCGGAATGTTCCCACGGTAAGCCCCGCAAAAGGTCCCAATCACTTGGGTCCCAGCGGTCGGCTGAACTCAGCCGCCGGATTCCCGTGCCTCTGCGCACGCCATCGGCCGTCATCACCAAAATGGATCCTGTTCGGCCGTGGTGCCCTACATAGCGTCCTTCTTTCAGGATGCGAACTCCCTCGCCTACTTCTCTAAAGTATAGGCGTTCACCAAAAGCTATGGCAGGTTTCCGCCATTGCTTTCCGCATCTTCTGGCCTCAGGCGTTCTGCCATCTTGACCTTTCTTGTACCTGCTCAACAGGTCTCCCGCCTGCCTTGGCAGCCATGCCAATGCAGGATCATCATCTTTGAGCTCTTTGCCGAGCTTCTTTTCCAACGCGCTGCGGAGAACTCGTACTTGACGCTTGATCTCCTTGCAGGCGTTCTCCGCCAGACCATTTGCCTGATGGTCTCCTACTGGCGACTCTTCCGAAACCCAGTCTATGCCGGTTTCTTTCGCCGCTGCCTCTTTCAAGGCTACCACGGATGGCTCACCATCCGACTTGAGCCTTCGAGTCCACGAAGGTCGCCGCTAAGGACTGTGTCCTCTCATCCTTTACTACGAGGATCGGCTTCACTCGCTCGTCCTCCACACCGCCCCGTGACATGAACGTGTAGTCCATTGCCACTGTGGGCACAAGGCTCTTGGCCTTCTCTTCCTCGGACCTCGTCCGATGTGGCTGTCCCACAGCCCGTCCAGCAATGCAATGCCGGCACCAACTTCGATACTGCACATGGCCTGTCGCCTCGTGCTCTTCGATCTCAGCCGGAGTTGGGTCCTCCGGAGCTCTTATCTGGATGGGTTTCTCAACCTCATCAACTAATTCCAACTCATCATCCTCTTCTCGCCCCTCTGGACCAGGTCGGCCTGAATCCATAGAGGCATCTCCTCTTTCTCCTGTGGCGTTCAACTCTGCGATGCCACAGCATTCCTTTGTCGGTTTATACCCTGGCTTTCTCAAGTGGAAGTTGTACACTCCCTGCTCTTGATACACAGGGATCCAACTCCGCTGCTCTGCAGTGTTCGCTTTCTCCAGGATCGCCTGGACAGCCTTTCCAACTTTGGACCCTTGCGGAATCAAGTTTCCGCCATTTGCATCAAGAACTGCAATCCTTCCAAAGCCTAAGCACTTGGATGCTGAAATCAATGGCTTGTGAACATCAGCCATTGAACCTTTCACACGGCATTTGTTGCCGCTCTCGTCGAACCCCTCAAAGGTTCCAATGCCCTGACTGGGCACCAACTCTCCTGATGCAGTCTTGAATACAACTCCGTTGCCTTCACTGACAACCACTCGGTCCTCCCAGCCATTCGGGATGGCTGTCTGGGCTGCTCCAGTGTCCAGGTTAAACTTCATCCATTCTTCGGCGGATGAGGTGTCCGCCATTCCAATTCCACTCAAGTCTGCCATGAGCATTCCGACATCAGCCTCCGGAGCTGGCTCAACGCCATCATCCGGATCGTCCATCTCTTCCATACTTCCTGCGGCTTTACCTTTGCCGCTTCGTCCACCTTTGCCTTTATTGCCTTTGCCACCTTTACCACTCTTGTCTCCTTTGCCTGAACCTGACCACTTATCGCCTTTTCCATCCGGCCGTTTCTTGCTCCAGCAATCGGCCGCTCGGTGTCCCTTCTTACCGCAATTATAGCAGGTGATATCTTGAGCCGGGTTTGAGCCTTTACTTGAGCCCCCTTTGCTTGAGCCTTTCTTTCCATCGCCTTTGGCCTGCTTACCTTTTCCTTTACCTTTTCCTTTGACCAGGCTTGCAATCCATTGTCCGATCGAATCGACGTCCATGGGTTGAGGTCCTTGATAACTCGAACTTGATGAACCTGGTTTTGGAACAGATGACTTTGATGTGAGGGATGTTTCAATGACAAGTTCAATCTCCTGTTTGATCAACGAATAGGTTGTCAATCTACTCTTGTTCAACAAAAGATGTTTCTCCAAATATGGGGGTACCAGCATCTCCAATGAAGCGGACTTGATGTCGTCCGATAGGGTCTCCCTGGTCCCTGCGGCACTCCTCCGAGACTCGTACCGCCTGATGAGCTCTTCGAGCTGTTCGATCGCTGGCCTCACCGCGGCCCATGTCTTGACTCTCTCCGGTTGGAGAATCGCTCGAAGTATATTGCGTTTCCGTCCCGAGGTTCGGGGATCCCAACGGCGGTGAACTCGCCGATATGCTTCAAACCCATTTGAAGCTCCTACCATCAAATCTTCTGCTTCACCTGAGGTTAGGGTCAGGAGCACGCGATGAATTTGATCAGCTTTATCTTCTAGGTCATCCATAGCTGCTATGGTTCCAGTCCCAAACGCGGACTCCATAGCCCTCAATTCAATCGCGTCTTCCTGTTCCAAAATATACTCCAGGACTTCAATGAACTCTCTCCCAAAAGTAGTTATGAACAGGTTATCAATGCTCCTGGCCCATTTTCGAAAATCCCCTTCAACATTCCCAAAACTCTCGGGGCGTCCCAACCCTTTGGTGTCCATAAGGATTTGGGACTTTCTCCTATCTTCTTTCTTCTCAAGGCTTTTAGCCAATTCTCCTACGGCTGAGGCTAGCATTGTCACCCCGCCTTGAGACTCCCTCAACACTTGATTCTCTTGCTCCAACCTCGTTTGGTTCTGTTGGAGTTGAAGTACCATATCCCTCAGCTGTTGGACCTGCTGTTCCATGGTTTCCTACTCTCAGCCCTGCTGCTGCTGCCGCTCGCTCCTTTTCCAGCGGCACAGTCGCGGGCGGTTCGCCCGGTCAAGGATCGGAAGGTTTTGGCACTCCACGGACTTCAACAGTAGTCCGCGTGAGTTCTTCCGGGCGACGACCCACAGTTGTGGCCTTCGCTTTAGCCGCTACTTTTGGTGCGGCTGACGGTTTGGCCTTTCCTTTTGGTCCGGCCTTCGATTTGGCCTTCTCTTTCGGCCCAGGTGTCAGGCTCACTTTTGGTGCCGCCTTTGTCTTGGCGGTCGATCCGAGGCGGGCAGGTCCCTTAAGACCACGCCGCTTGATGTAGTCCTGAACCACGGGCAACTGTGCCTGCCGTCGTTCGTCACAAGAACTACAAGCCTCGTTGGATCCTCTCTTTCCCTGGTCGTTGGGGGTCTTCCAGAGTTCGCGAATGGCGGCCAATGCAACGGTACCCTTGAGGCCTCGTTGCTCGACAAGTTCGTCGGCCGCAAGCTTTCGCACTTGGAACGGGCTCTCTAATTTCCAATTTTCTATCGTCAATCGCTGGGCCCGCTCGTTGGCTAGGGTGACGATGCGGAGGTTCAACTCCAGCGCACGCCCCCAGACCGCCCGTCCCCGCTCGGTGTCGCGGGTTTGCGGTCGCTTAGCCGGCGGTGGCCCGTCCGGTGTTCGAGGCTGTCGAGCCGGACTTGGATGGCTCACCGACTCTTCTTCTTCGACCTCCTCCTCCTCGGCTGGATCAGCCGCTTCTGAGGTCTTCCTTTTCTTGGTCCGCTTCTCTTGATTGCGGACCCTCTGCTCTTCCCGCTCTTCTTTGATCTCTTGTGGAGTGCGCCCTTTTCCGAACTCTTTGATGCGCCTCCTCAGATCTTCTGTGATGACATCCTTCTTCTTCTGCAGCCTGACCAGGTCTTTGAGCCTCCGGTACTGAAGCGAGGTCTTGCTTCGAAGTCGGAATCCGGACTGTGGCTCTGGATGCTTCTTGACCTGTCCCCAAATATTCTTCTTCACCCTCCAAGGCGCTTTGGGATCAACCTTGGCTTCAGTGTATTTGGTGTGAATGCCACGGACCTCCCAACCTGTTTTGACATCTTCTGGGGATGTGATGAAGTCGGCGATCACTCGGCCAGATGAAGGCTGTGCGGCTGGATCAGCCGCTTCAGCCTCTGGCTCTACTGTGGGGTCTTGTTCCGGCTTCTCTTCTTCTCCTCCTTCTGTCTCTTTTGTGGTCTCTTCTTCTTTTGTTTCCGCGGTCCCTTCAACCGCTGATGTTGTTTCGGCAGTTCCTACAACCGCCGGAGTGGTGCTCGCGGCCGATTCTGCCGCTGATGTGGCTGGCAAAGGCTCCTCCTCTTTTTCTTCCTTTCCACTCGGGGCGGCCGAATCGGCCGCTCCCGGGATTTCCTGATCCTCCTCCTCGGAGGTCTCTACCTTGCTATGTCTCTCCTCCTTGATGCGCAGCGTCCCTTTCGCTTTCACCGGGCTCACGCGCTACCATGAAAATAAAGTTTCGACGTTTCGGAACGCCTTTTCTCCCTTGAGCCAAAAAACGTAATGAGTCACGTGTCTGCAGTACTCTAGCGGAGTATATATGCGCTGTACATACAAACAAAGTTGGAGACCATTATATATTATATACGACTGGTAACAAGAAGCTACTCCTGGGATTTTCGGTGCTCTCGAAGGACGCACCTCCGGGAAGCCGCATGGAATCTGAAATCCCCGAGTGGCGCTGAGGGAGGGAGAGAAAACCAGGCCTTTCCAGATCAGAAAATATATGAAAATGCCGGGTCGGGTGCTTGCACGGTTAAGGTCGCTGTCTTATCTGAAGTTATCTGGCTAAAAGACTGGCCCACATTCAAAGGTTCTCTAGATGAAACAAACTCTGGTAACTGTGACTAGATTAGATCCGTCCAACTCCTTTCGAGCGTTCAGATGTTCTATATACCTTTCGAAAGGTGAGGGCACTTCACCTTTGATCCTGTGCAATTCAGCCGGGCCGTCGCACCAGGCTGGTGCCTCTCCCTTGGCCTGTCAGACAGGACTCAACACAAAGCTGCACGAACTCCGGAAACATGGACATCGCATGCTCCACTATACACAGCATTGTCATGACATGAATTGGATGTGTTTCACCCTTCTTTCGCCCTTCTCTTTGCCTGGGCCTATTTCATCCCCAAAGAATCCCCCGATGGCGGTTTCTCAACGCGTTCGTTCCTTCGTTCGCTTCGCCGAGTTCACACGTCCTGGTTCGCCAAGTTCATCCTCCTCTGCCCCCGTGGGGTCAACGGAGCGCCCTGCTCGCCGAAGAGGTCCCACACGCTTCGCCTACCGAAGAAAAATGCCCAACGAGTCAACCCTGGAAGAAGGAAACGGTCTTATCAGCTGCGGGTTCTGTGTGTTTTTTTATATGCAGTGCACTTGATGAACTTTAAATGGTTTTAATGCGTCATGTTTCTGGACCATACCAATGTCGGGGCAATGGTCCGCTACATTCGTCTCAGTTTTTAGGCTGCATGTCTTATCTTACACTGGGGGCCAGTGCTTGACCCTCCTGTCTCGACCTGCCCTGCCTTCGGTAGGTCTCTGCTGACAGGGCCCGTGGTTCAGCAACGTCTCCAGTCCGGGGTGACCAAAGCCATCCTGATAGAGACAGGTTCAAGTCAGGATGGCATGGCTCATGATGAGACGGCTGAAGATGGCGGCATCTGAAGCTGAAGAAACCTCCTCAACCGCAGCGGGACTTCGCCAACGGGCCGGGCCCTGCTTCGATCGGCGCGGGGCGAACCACGCGACTCTGGGGAGCCCGGCCCTGGCCAGAGCCTCAGTCGCTGCGAAGGCCTGAGGGGGAAGGGGTTACCTGGTTACCCCCAAAGAAAGGTGGAAGTTCGCTCGACTCCCTTTCATCTAGAATGTCGAGGCCAGGGGGGGTCCTGAAAAGTTTTAAAAGTTCTGAAGAAAAAGTAGGTATATTTGCATGTTCTATTTCTCACTAGTTTATACTAGTTTACTGTAGTAGCCGGAAGAAAAAATATGTTTCTTCCATTTTCTTCTCATGGCTGTCCTGTCCCCATGCTTGGATGCTTGCAAGAAAAAGGATGGACCTGCAAAGGTTTTCACCGGTGCATCTTGAACAACTTGACAACATGTTTTTATGTATGTAATTTTGTTTCGATATAGATATATGTGTGTGCTATACAGTGTCAATATTTTAGGTATATATATATAAGGCAATTGAGAAACCAGCATCAAACTTCACACAAACATTTCACCTAAGCTGGGACCTTTTCTCCACTCTTTCGGTGGCCTATCGCCTATCGCTGTCTCATGGGCTGTACATGCGAGACCCAGGCACAAATTCGTGCTCAAGCCTTGGGTTGCTCGAAAAGACTCGCAATGACTCACATGATCTGGCAGGAACAACACGAACAACACTTCTTATTCTCTGCATCTGGATTTGCAGTGCCTGCTGCCGCCTCAATCTCGCCAGGCCAAGCATCAGCATGGAGGTCCAAATGTTGGTTTAAGCAGCTTCCACAAGCTGCATCAACACCAGCCTGTGCCTTGCAGGAATTCAAAATATGAACACTTCATACCTTCTGCCAGTCTGGCGGCCTCGCCTTCTGGCACTTCCAGGTTTTCTGCATCTCCGTGTTTGCCCACCAAGCATCACACCACCATGCCTGTACACCTGACCGGCCGCTCTCAGCATCCTCTCTGCCTCACGCAAGCTTTCTAGCTCTTTCTGGCTGAAGACACACACGACGACACCTGCCCCTGTGAGGCAGGAAGGATCAACCCACGTCACATCCCAGAAACGCCCCAAACTTCCACCTTCCCTGAGGTCGGCGGTCGTGACGCTCACAAAATTCAAGTCAGGACCAATGGATACCAATGGTACGCTCACAGGCGCTCACAAACTGTCCAACGAGGAAGGTCGAGCACAGCGTCGTCTTACCCACAAGCCTTCCTCCTAGAAACACCACTTTCACCTTTAACGTAGGCTTCCCAAGGCCCCGATTGCGGATCAGTAGAAGTTATCCTGGAGACTTGGCTGAAGCGACCCAAGTTGTGTGGTGGATGACAGCTGTTGGCTTCCAAAGACCACGGAAAAACGAAACCACTGGCCAAAAACCCTGGCTTCGCACATTTTCATAAGGAGCTCCTTGACAGCCGTGCTGGGCAGCAGCAGCGCTTCGTAGGCCACTGAGGCAGAGGGCAGCAGGACACGCAATGGCACAGGCGGTGCAATCTTAGGGGAGCCGGCTGAAATAGATGCTGATATTTGGCTGCAAATAGGTATATAGATCCATATATATATATATAGGGGTTGTTCAAAAGACCTTTCATTTTTTCCAGGCCTTTCGCAGGACCTTCGCGAAGCTTTCGCAAGCTTTCGCGCGTGGGGTTTTACCACTGTCGGCGAAAATGGTTTGTCGTTGGGGCTAGAGGCACGTCTTGTCCTCTGATCACTGACACATTGATTGCTGAGGAACAGGAAGCCAGCCAACCAAGATATTTTCATGTTGGTATGTTTTTGGTTGGGCGCAACCCTCCATGAACAAGAGACGGCTCAGTCAGCCCAATTTGCTCAGACTTCCAATTTGCTTGTTCCCGGGCCGGGAAAAAGCAAAATGGTTCAGACTTCGAATTTGCTTTTTCCCGGGCCGAGAAAAAGCAAAATGGCTCAGACTTCCATTTTGCTTTTTCCGGGCCAGGACAAAACAAGGTTCAGACTTGGGAAAAAAGCAAATTGGTCAGACTTCCAATTTGCTTTTTCCAGGCCCGGGAAAAAGCAAATTGGAAGTTTGAGCCGGAAAAGCAAATTTGACATCCAGTTTGCTTTTGGAAAGCCTCAAAAAAACAATTTTTTCAGAGAGCTGTGGCCTAATGGACAAGGCGCCAGGCTCATAAGCAGAAGGTTGTGGGCTCAAGCCTCACAGGCGCTGCTTGTTTCCAGGCCGGGGGCAGATTGCTTTCCAAATTGGATGGCTGATACATTTTCCTTTTTCCCGGCCTGGGAAAAAGCAAATTGGAAGTCTGAGCCTTTTGCTTTTTCCAGGCCCGGGAAAAAGCAAATTGGATGTCTGAACCATTTTGCTTTTTCCCGGCCCGGGAAAAAGCAAATTGGAAGTCTGAGCCTTTTGCTTTTTCCACAAATTGGATGTCTGAACCATTTTGCTTTTTCCCGGCCCGGGAAAAAGCAAATTGGAACTCTGAGCCTTTTGCTTTTTCCCGGCCCGGTAAAAAGCAAATTGGAAGTCTGAACCATTTTGCTTTCTCCCGGCGCGGAAAAAAGCAAATTGGAAGTCTGAACCATTTTGCTTTTTCCCGGCCCGGGAAAAAGCAAATTGGATGTCTGAGCCTGGCAAAAAGCAAATTGGAAGTCTGAGCCTTTTGCTTTTTCCAGGCCCGGGAAAAGGCAAATTGGAAGTCTGGACCAAATTTTGCTTTTTGCCGGCCCGGGAAAAAGCAAATTGGAAGTCTGCCCGAGAAAAAGCAAATTGGAAGTCTGAACCATTTTGCTTTTTCCCGGCCTGGGAAAAAGCAAATTGGAAGTCTGAGCCTTTTGCTTTTTCCCGGGCCCAGGAAAAAACAAATTGGAAGCCTGATACATTTCCAATTGCCTTTTCCCGACCCTTGGAAAATTCTTTGTCGTGAACACAACGAGGACCAGCAACAACAAAGAGGTTGGCCCAGCTAAACGATTAATGTCAACATCAGATTAGCCAAACCCCCTATTAGTCTACCCAGCGTTCAGGCCCCAATAATAAACTAATTTGAACTATGAATTTCCACAGTCACCACCCTCTAATAAAAAATTTGCTTGGCTGAAACCACCCCTATTAGTCTACCCCCTGTCCCACCAGGAAAAATATAATTACTTAAATAAATATATATATATGTGTGTGTGTGTGTTTAATTAGTTTTGTGCTTTTTGCCTTTTCAATATTTTCTTGTCTTGCCATGGTGAAACTGATCTTCTGATTGATTACCAATGCTCTCCCAAAGCAACAATTTTCCTAGAATTTCCAAAACTCTCTAGGAAAATTCGTTCATTTTCCCTTATTGAAAATCTATCAAAATCTGCAATTTGAGAAGCTCAGAAAGGGTACCCCCAATACACCCCCTACCCCCCTCTAATAGTGGTGTACCCCCCCCCTATTAGTCAACCCCATCCATGATGAGCTCTCATGGGCCTCATGATGGAAGGGAATTAGTATTTGGGCCCTCATGGATCTCATCATTCCATCCCAGCTCTTCCAAATACTAATTCCCCTTCATTCCAATTCTTCCAAATACTAATTCCCTTTCATTCCAGTGCTTCCAAATACTAATTCCCTTTCATTCCAATTCTTCCAAATACTAATTCCCTTTCCTTCCAATTCTTCCAAATACTAATTCCCTTTCATATACTAGTTCCCTTTCATTCCCATTCTTCCAAATACTAATTCCCTTTCATCATCAGGACATCCCCACTATTAGGGGGATGTGATCTCCAAAACCTCCAATCTCAGACCTTGTTGACCTTGTTGACCTTCTAGGGGGGGGGGGCCGTTGATTAATATGATGTCGACATTACCTTGAAGACATTACCTTGGATGCTCCCAGTGGTCCAAAAGGGAAACGGTCTTCCATCATCTTTCATCCCAGCCCCACGGTGCATGCACCAAAGGCCAAGTTCCGAAATGCCGAGGCTCCGGACGATCCTCGAGTTTTAAGGACGACGTGCCAAAGTCTAGCGCGCGCTACGTGTTGACTCACCCCCTACTGCTGGGTGCTTGGCTGGCAGAAACGAAGTAAAGACTTCGACCAAGTGAACGAGTCAGTTGGTCACGTCACGACCTGTCATCGACAAGCAGCTTTGCAAATTACTTTTCAATCTGCCATGCCTACGCCGGTCCGGCCTGGGCCTACCCGCCGTCGAGCCACCGAAGGTTCAGCAGTGCCACGAGATGTGGGCCTAAGGTAGAAACAAAAACTATCCCGGCAAGAGACCCCAAACAGTGTGTGTGTGTGAGGCATAGAGATGTGGCAGCAGAAGGGCTAGAGTGCTAGAGATCTAGACACATTTGGATCCAGAGAGGTGATGGTGGTGATGGTAGTGAACGCGTGAGAGCGTGAGTGCGTGAGTGAGTGAGTGAGTGAGTGAGTGAGTGAGTGAGTGAGAGAGTGAGTGAGTGAGAGAGTGAGTGAGTGAGTGAGTGAGTGAGTGAGTGAGTGAGTGAGTGCGTGAGTGCGTGAGTGCGTGAGTGCGTGAGTGCGTGAGTGCGTGAGTGAGTGAGTGAGTGAGAGGCATGAACGTACTGTAAATAGCAGCGAATTAGCCAAACGCCGACCCAAGCCACGACTGGAACAAGGGATCTGTGATTGTCTGGGTTCGCTATACTCACATCTGGCAAACAAAACAAGCCTTGGTGCCACAGTCTGGGCCATGCTATGTTTTGTACAATCTATGTAACGAGCCGTCAGAACCTGTTGTTTGGTGTTGCATTGTGCATGGGGTGTTTGGCACGCTTCGTGATGAGTCATAGCCATAGTTTCTTAAAATAAACAGTGCAAAAAAGAAAGCTGCTGGAGAAGGTCTGAAAGTGAAAAGCTATGAAAAGCTGAGAGTTCTGCAGATGTGAGAGACGTCGCAGTCATGAACCGTGCATGCAAAGATGGAGGTAGGGAGGCAGGCAGGCAGGCAGGCAGGGAGGTAGGTAGGTAGGCAGGTAGGTAACGGTGGGCTGTATGTACGGTTGTTGATCAAGGCCCCGTCAGCTATAGTGGCGCTTATGATTTTGTCCCTGCAATGGTTGTGCACGAGGCAAGTTTGCAGTGGTGGCACAAGGCTTTAAGTGCGAGGGGGCCCTTCCTTACAACACTGCGAGCACAAGCCCAACTCGCCAGGGTGTGAATAACACAAGAACATCCCAAACGCATATGGGCAGCAAAGACATAGAACGCCTATGATCGCTAGTGCACATTTAGATTTCGATTGCCCCATATTGCCCCCGCACTTCACTTGACAAGTGAAACCATTCCCGAATGGTCAGCGTCCATGTTCGCTCTCTCATGGGGTTCCCACTGGCCCGCCGGCAGGGTGCCCACCATGGCTGCCCGCGGCCGAATGGAATGAGCCTGAAAAACGTCACTTGGTCATCTAGAAAATTGGATGATAGGAAGTGCTCCAATCGAAAGAGGGGACAGGTCGGACAAGTTCTATAATATAGTGGCAATGGTGGTCCTCATGCTATGTGTCTTGCATTGAAGTGATGATGGGCGATAATTGTCAGGCCTCCAACGCTGCGCAGCATGGTTCAAGCCAAACGCTGAGCGTTTAAATATATAACATTAAATAACAAGATGTAGAGCGGAGTCAGGTGTCCCAAATAAAAAAAGAGTTGTGCAATCTTCGCGCCTCAAGACAAACATCTGTTCATTGGTTTGGCTTGATCGATGACTAGATGTTGACACACCTCGAGGAAGCCTCTCTCAAGGGCACTTGCTGAATCGCTCAACCCCAGGCTGGTCGAACCTTTTTTTCAGAGTACGCAAGGACGCTACTAGGGGCTCCTGGCGTTACTGCTAGGAACAAGAACGCTACTAGGAGCAAAGGGCATCGCTACTAGGAGCAAGAACGCTACTAGGGTCTCGGAGACTTCGATCACCCGACGTTCTCGCGTCCGAGCGTGCACGATCCGATTAGAAGTACTCCGAGTTGGTGCGGCGGACCTTCTCTGAGGCCCGCTTCTTCTTGGCACTCAGGTCAAAAGGGCAGACCTGAAAATGCAATCAGTCTTTGTTCATTCGGGTTGTGAGTCAAAAATGAAAATAAAGAAAACTGATCTTTGTGCACCACCTGGCATGCACAATCATGCACAAAGCACAACCGGTGTGCCCTGAAATCCTCACCATGGAAGATCGTATTGAATAGACTGAATAGACGTCCGTATCGTTCCACGTTTCGCACGTTTGGCGCCAATCTGCACAGGATTAGCCACTGGGGTGTCCTGTGCAGCAGAAGTTGCCAGATTTGCTTGTTGGGTTCAAAATCTTCGGCACCACCGTTGGGGTGAAGATATATATGATTTACGAGCTTCCCGGTCTCATCCTGTACAAAATTGATTTGCATGTCTGGCACCCACACTTCCCACACTTCCCACATCCACCCTCTTCCATCTTCACACCTCAACTGGAACAGCATGACCTCCAACCCCACCTGCCCGGGATGCTCAAAGCCGGGGCTCCCCACCAGCAGGCGAGCAAACAGCCACCCTGTGGCCTCCGGCGCATCCTTGGCGAAGCTCGGGAGGTTCAGTGCTCGGTGACTCACCTCCGATTTGCTGTCCTGGCCGCCCGCAAACCATCCATGGCCGAGCAGCTTGTCTCAGAACCCTCCCCTCTCTCTGCGTGTGTTTTGGGGAAGTGGCACCGGGGAACGAGTTTGGGCAACGGACAAGTCAAGGATTGCCCCCACCCGAACATCCGAAAATGACGCCTGTGGCTCTTTTCTTGAGCGAAAAAGAGAAAGCCTGAGAAAGCCAAAAGCTGGTCGTCTTTGGTTGACACAATGAGCATCGTGCACAAGGGATGAACATTGTGGCCCAGCAGATTTCCAGGTTCCCTCGCAACACTCTCTCAGCATGACACCCGCGGAAAGGACCTTGTTCGAAATCAAGCGCTGCTTGGGGTTCCAAGCCACCAGCACGCAGGAAAGAACATGCCCAAGGAGAAACCGGAACAAACGGGAGTAGTGTTATGTTACCATTTCCCTTTTTGGGTAGAAGGTTGCCGCTGGGCAGTGGAAGGCATGGAGAGGTTTCAATCTGATCCAGACCCTTCGAACGCCGAGTCCTCCCCTTCATCTTCTGTCTCGCTATTCCGCTGCGGTTTCACTTCGTCTGCCGACTGGGTCGACTCATCCTCCTGGCAACTTTCCCAGGTCCGTACCCCAGCATGGTGTAGAAAGAATGTCCTGAAGGGATCCATCTGTCTTCAATGGCCCTCTCACACTGCAGGCCGTGAGCCCTACCAGTGCAAAGTAAACCACCACATCATTCTTATGACCTGTCAAGTTGTGTGATGAATGTTCTATGCATGTGCTGTGGTCAAACACCTTAACGGTCCATGAACCGCAGATCCTGACTTGCACAGTCAGTAACTCGCACTCTTGGGTTGAACTTCAGGCCTACAGTCCTCGATGCAAGGATGTATCTCTGTGGGTGTGCAAATGTGTACATGTGTCTCTACACAGTTGCATCAGTCATGATACAGCTAACACGCAGGGTGAATGGAGTCAATAGCACCTCAAAGAATCCTTCACAAATCCTCAGGCCATCCATCCGCTCAACAAATGGCCTTGGGGCCTTGGGTACATAAGGGTACTGGTACAAACCATGGTATCCATGGACACGTCCGTCGCCCCGCTTGATCAGTCGTCAGTAGGCTGACCTGTTTCTTCTTTGATACTTTTTGCCAGTCAATTGAAAGAGGAAACCAGACCCCTGACATCCCCTGACCCAAAGATACAACATGCTCATGCATCATGCTCACCCCGTGTTCTGCTTTCTTATCTAAAGAGGGAGCGCCTACGTCCGGCGATACCTTTTGGGCGGCTTGGGCTAAGTTTGGGGCACATGTCCCACATTGTCCCACCAAACGAACCACTGCAATCCGTTTACCTCAATGGTAAGTATTGCGACACCAGAGAGGTCTTTTGTCCGAGGCCGAGGCACTGCGTCAATTGGAGGTGCCTGCCCGTTGGGCCGCGGTGCATTGGTAAAGTCCTCCAGCATTGCTTGAAAGAAGAGGTAAAGGTTGACCGAAACAACCACAGTATATACCTTAACTTTAGTACATTTTGGAATTGCAAAGGCCATCAACAAAAGGATGGGGCTGCATGTCTGATTATATATATATATAATGAATCTAACGGCAAACGCTTTGACCACCCTGTGTGGAGCCATGAGAATCAGCAAACTGCAAACTCCAGCCTCCCAACCCATGTGCAACCGGACGCGTCTCCTCTGTTGCGCGGGGCGAGCAATATTAGCCGCCCTTAGGGTGCCTTTGGAGCACTAGCCTGATAGCATAGCAACCAGAGTCCCTGTTTTTGCGCCTGGAGCCTCTCCCAGTGATCCTTGGAGGTTCCTGTGACCCTTTGCCACATCGTTGACCCCAGCCATTCCATGGCCGCGGCCATTCCTCTCTCAGGGTGTTTTCAGGTCTCCTCATCCTGCAGGCGCTCAAGCATCTTGCGCCAGGCTGCGCTACGCCAGCCAGGCCAGTCAGGCATGGCAATGTGCTGTGGGGTCGACCTCCCCTGGCGCCTTGGGGAGGAGCAACTTTGGGGAATTGATTCCTCGCTCATGTGTTTGCACGATTCCTGAGTTACATGATCCTGAGATGCAGCTAACCACAATGCCAAATTCTGGGCAAAGCACAGGACCTCCACCAAATAGCTGACCAGCCAAACCACGCGGGCTTCCGGAGATATCGTCTGCTGCAAGCCTCACGAGCCGAGGCGAGCGTTGAAGCGGCAAAAGGCAAACAAACCTGGTCGTTTTGAACACTTTGTCAGGGCCTGCTCCCATCAAACTGCAGCATCTAAACATTGGATGGATACGATGGCAGGCTTTGACAGAAAAATACAGAAAAGGATGTGGGCCCTTCCCCAACATCTTGGAATTAGGAATTCACCCATCAGGTCCAAGCAGCTGTTGCCATAGACCAGAAGGTGCCCAATCACCAGGCGACACAAACATTCCACAAAAGCTGCCACGCCAAAAACGGGTTTCCCTGGCGGTCGGGTTCGATGATCGCTTGCGCATGAAAAAGATCGATTCTGTCCCCTTTGAAAGCCCGCGAATGCTGCGGATGTGACCTTCGCAACTTTGAAAGCGCATGGTCAATGTCCATGCTAGCTTGAGGCTTAAATTGAGTACCATTGAGTAAAAGAAATACAGTTGGCCTGCCAGGACACAAAAAATCCACGGTCGCTACGTTAGCCATCCCCCTCCTTCCTTCGGCGACCATGTATGGATGGGTAGCAGTGGTTTTTGTAGGACACAAACCTTCAAAAAGTACCCATGGCGGTGGCTGTGGATCTGAAACAGGATAAATCCAGAAACTGTTGCATCCACGCGGTCGGATGTTGTCAGCATATTGAACCATTTGCTGATCGGAACAAAACACCTGTACGACGTTGCACGTCATGGAGGGTATTGTCGAAGGCGTTGGTCCTAATTACATTGGCCGACCGGCGTCCGGACCGACAAATGTATTGATGTTTGGTAGCACGCTTGTTTTGATCCACGCGCTTCGGTAGCGGAGTAGTTTTCAACTAGTAAACAGTGCATCAACTTGACTGTACATGTCTAGGTGTTCCATCACATGAAAAAGTTAACACCCAGCCTTGATGTTACACGTGTTTAAGTGTCAACATCACCTTCTTTTGTACACTCTCGATTTGTGCGAGATCTACCACTTCAAGGTAGCACTGACACGGTCTCTCGCCTTGAATTGTAATGTATCATAGATACATCCCGTTCTGGCATCAAATGAAAATGCTATTTCTATGAAAAACTTTCACCAATTCTGTATTGGGATACGTGGTTCAGCTGGTTTCACGCATCCATCCATGCTCACCAAAACTGTAAACTTGCTTTGCAAATAAATTCGATCGTAGTTCCAGTAAATGTCGTTTTGTACCGTGGTTCAGCTGGTTCACGGCACACACAAACACCGAGTGTCTATGGTTCAGATGGTTTCATAGAACACTCCAAAAAAACATGCATTCCACATTCAAATTGAAATCAATGACCTGTATTGCTGTCACCATCTGACTCTGGCTCACTGTCAAAATGGTGTAGTTGTTGCCAGTATTCTGGGTCACTCACCTCATCCAAACCGGATTGCAAATATCTGCGCCTCATCTGAGATGTTGTCTCTTCATCAGCACTGTTATGGTCACTCTCCGGTTCATGGTTATAAGCTTGTGTTGTTTGTGCTGTACTTGTTTGTAAACTTCTGCCTGGCAACGTACTCGAAGTAAAATATCCATCCTGTTCATCGATACGCTGTCTCGTTCGATTGTCCATCTCCGTTCCAGTTGTATAGATGTATGTCTCTATACTTTCACCTTCACCACCTTCACCTTCAGGCTCCTCTTCTTCTTGAATCTCTGGACCTGGATCAGTTCCACTCGGGCGATAAATCTGTCATTCCCCGACACATCATGTGAGCTCGTCGGCGAACTCCTTCACTGTGATTCTCTTCCAAAATTCCCAACTGCATCTGAAGAATTCGTTGCCTGTGGTGGTACCTTCGAAGCCAATCATGATCCATCATGTGACCCCTTCGCCTCATGCGATCTTCAACCCTTCCAAGCATCCAGTATAGAAGCCACTCCGGCGACCATAGTTCCCATCTCGGTGTTGGATCCACCGGAATAGGAGAAAACACTGGAGCTCGTGGCGGAGGTCCACGAGGTGGAGGGTGCTTTGGTGGCACCGGCCCCTCACTCGAACTTGCTTGTTCATTGGCTTCAACGCTCAACTCATCACCCATTGTCACATCACCTGTCATAGCCAACTCTGGTTCAGGTTCCGGGACTTGAACTTCTTCTCGTTTTCTCTTTCTGCCCAGCCTTGCTCAAAGCCTCTGGGAATCGTTCCAATGTGTATACAAATAATTGCAAACACCCAGGACCAACAAAATGACCAATGTAAATACCACTTGGTGGTTTCCGCTCTGCTCAGCAGATTCTGGTGCATCTTGTTCTCCACAACCTTTCAATGAAATTGCTTGCAACATCATTGCACATTGTACCAACTTGTGTGTTCTGTTCTTGTTCCATCTCGTGACATTTTGAACCTGTTGTTTCCACATTTCGGATGCCAAAGAGTGCAAATACTCTTGCTCATCTATTCTCTCTTTCACTTCCCCTTCATCATCCAATCTCACAACTCCAAGGAAGTATAAAATGAATTGTCGACGTGCCTGACTTAGCTTCTTGGTGTTGAGGTCTGACAAATTCAATCTCGCCCCTATTGGCAAAACATCCAATGTTCTCTGCTTCAATGCTGACTGCAACCAACATAGCCTGACATCAACATGTTTGAGGCGTCCAAGCCCTGTTCGCTGCAACCATTGTCTACCTGAGCTGCTATCCGATCTCATCTCAATCTCGCAGCTTTGTTGCACCATAAATGTCCAAACTGCTTTTAAAAGCAATGCCTCACTTGCTCCTGCTGTCATTGCTAGTGCCTCAGCTTCACAAGATGAAAGTGCTGTGCTTTTTTGAGTGCGGCTGAATGACAAACAGAATAAACCATTCATCAAAATCATCACCGATGTAGTCGAACGCCGCTTTGGCCCACTGGCCCTATCTGAGTCACAGCACACCTCCATACAATGAATCTCTGGGTACTCATTGACACTGTGCAGCTTGTACACCATCTTCGTACCAACCTGGCTGTATGGCATGTGAAAAGCAAAAACTCTTATACCTGACAGGTATAGGATCAACTGAATCAACGCTTTCTCGGCCTGTACCGTTGGTGACTTCATCCATGATGCAAGCGTCTTGACGCAAAATTGAATGTCAACTCTGTCATGTGCAAGGTACATTGCAATGCCAAGCCCACTGCGAAACTTTGCTTGTCTCGGTCCGTCCAAATCCTCTGATGCATCAACCTGACACAAAAGACTGTGATCTGGAACCTGCTTTTCTTTCCTCCCATGCAAATCATAAGGCCAACAAACTCTCCACATACTTGGAATTTGGTTTGACATAGAGTCCATCTTCTCTGAAGAGGTATGTCTTCTTGAGATAGTTCACCTCTTCCCCATTTCCAAGTTTCTGCACCGGATATGGCCCTTCGATCTGCAACTTGTAAACTTTCTTCAACTCTTGGATCAACCACAATGCATCTTCGGTGGTCTCACTTGCAATCAACTCATCGTCAACATGTACATTGACAACACCTTAACTACCCCAAGCTTTGAAAGCTTGTCAACTTCTGCGTTCATGGCCTCTCCGTCCAACTGCTCGAGGTCCTCTGGTGGAATCTCTGAGGGGTTGTTCACCTTTGTAGTCGATGGGAATCTCATCAATGTCAAATTCCACCATCTCCCAATCCATATCCTCCTCCCAGCACTCATCGTCATGTAGTTGCTGCGACTGCATCTCTACCTTTCCAGCGAAAAATGGGGCATACAACTGAGAGGAACTAGGACTGCCTTCACGGTCTAATCTTGCTGACTTCCGTTCACGAGGCTCTTCATTTGCAGCTTCTCTTTTCTCGCCAGCTGGATCTGGCAATGTCTCATGAATCTTGTCTTCAACAATAACCATCAATGAGCTTGCTTGACGTTGACGGTCTGGATATACCGCTCAACCTTGGCTGTTCTACCCTTATGGTAAGGTTTGCCATGCTGCTTGCTTGCTTTGAAACCCATCTCCTGTCTCACAGCCACAATCATATCGAGAAGTCCTAATGTCGCAGGCTCTGAGTCCATCACGAAACAAACCTCATTCGTGTAATTCAACTCCAATGAAAACTTCACAACAATTCTGCCACTCATCGCCACACACCTTTTGACCTAGTAGGACACACAGCACCGTACCTTGTATCCGAACCGATCATCACTAACGAAGGGCACTGCTGTCCAAGAAACATCCAATCAAGCTGAATGTGTGGGATTCCTGTCTGCTCTCTCTCTCCAAGTCTGCGTTGTGAACTGTTGGATCATCCCTCGACTTGGTTCGAACACAAACATCACACCAACTTGCGAAAGGAAGATGTGTCACTTCATGCTTTCCGATTTCCAATGGATTGGAAGGCATTTCAGATGCCTTTCCTTGTGTCTTCGGTTGAGGCCCAAGCATCTGCTGCTCAATGTTCTTGGAAACCACACCTATGTCCTTTTGATATTGCACCTCAACATATTTGGCCAACCTGTCATAGAGCTTTCTCTTTGCCCCACTTGCATTCAAACCCAATTCATTGCATGCTTCTTGCAAATCACGGACACGGCTCTCAACTGTCAACTCCTTTCCATTCACCCAAACCGACTCTGGCAATGGAATGTGTCCACCTGCTACTCCTGAAGGTTCGATCAAGGGCGCACTTGGCAATTCGATATCAGCCACCTGGTCATCTGTCAAAGGATGGCACGAGCATCAACTCAACGGTTCAACATGACGTTGAGGAAATGTCAAAACCGTCGTTGCAAACAAAAGGCCTTCAATCGAACTCTCAACATCCTCCAACCGTGACAGCTCCTGCGAATGTTCAACGACCTCCCAAACCTGGCCAACCAACACAATCGTCGTCCTTAACCGCCAAACATTGCCAGACTGCGAGACAATACACTTCCTGGATCAACAAAATGTGTTCCTTCATATCGATGTACCGGGTTACTTTTCTCTAAAAACTGCCAACCGTTGCGCAATGTGGAAGGATCAATGTCAAACTTCACAAATGCACCTCGAACTGCTCCGACCGACGAACTCTGTGCTTCATGTTGATCCTCCGTTGACTCATTCCCAGCTACTCGATGAACCCTTGCCAAAATGCTCAAACTGTTCTTCCTGTAGTAGACCGGGATCTTGCATTGCTCATCAGGTCTTTTCAGAACACCCGCACACGGGCCTAAATCCATCTGTTCGATCAAAACTTGATCGTCACCACATGCTTCTCCAAACTGCCAACCTATCTTCAACAAGCGGCCGAAAGAAAGAAGGATGTTTGTCACATCTGAGACAATGAACGATTCTGTAACACTGCAACCTTGATCTCTCTCCAACACATGCTCAAACTCTAGTTCTGCTTGTCTCATTCCACCAACTCTCAACTTCTGTCCTTGAGCGTCCTCCAAATGAAGATGCGGTGTTCCTGAATCCACACCTGCTGAACCATGGCTGAAAGGAAGCAATGAAACATCCGCTCCTGAATCAAGAACAATCCATTGCGCTTCCTCTTGTGACGTTTGCTCAACCATTCGTACCTGAAATGTATCACAATCACTCTGGGCTTCTGGCACCTGACACTCATCCATGCACAACCATCGATAGAACGAATCGTCTGTCAAGAGATGTGCATCTGTCTGAATTTCACCCTCATCAAACATCTCAAAACATTCACACTGCTCTGAGGTTTTGACCATGTTCACACGACCAGTCAACGTAGACCAATCATCGACCGACGAGGCTTCGGAAATCGCATGATGCTCTGGGAAATCCTGTGGAGGTGTCGCTACATGATACATGTAAACTCGTCTCACCTGTCTGGACGTCGTTGAAGCTGTTGTACTTCCGACTGAACTGTAGGCTGTAGCGCCGCTAGAAGGAACTCTGGCAGCGTCCACTCCTGTGGGAACTTGTTCTTGATGAACCTCCCTGACATCGTTCTTGTGACATTGTGAGGACATTCATTTCCCCAATGCCCCCAACCATTGCAAATCCGGCACCTATCCGGACTTGTTCCTTTGCCTTTCGATTTGCCTTTCTTTCCACCTCCTTTGTTCTTTCCTTTGGACTTTCCCTTCGACTTGCTCTTTCCTTTGCTCTTGCCTTTCGACTTTCCACTACCTTTCCAACCAGAAGAAAACCACTGATTGAACCAGCCACCTTTCTGCTTTCCTTTCTGTTTTCCCTTTCCTTTCTCATAGCCTTTGCCCTTTGTGACTGCATCAACGTCCGCAGGAACTGGACCGGCATCTCCTTTCGAAGAACTTGAAATCTGCTTACCGACCGTCTTGAGGACGTCATTCACATTCCACATTCGACTGCTTCTCTCGTAGGCAAAAATTCGCTCTTTCACCTCTTGGTGTGATGAAGAATCTGAAATTGCCAATGTAAGATGCTGTCTGATGTTGTCTGGACACAACCGTAGTAACACTCCCAACAAAACATCTCTGTCGAAAGCATTGGAACTGAGTACATCGTACTGTTGTACCAATGTCTCCATACCACTCACATGTTTTTGCAGGGTTTTGTCACCACCTGGAACAAACTGAGGAAAGGACGAAATCGCCTGGCTCAGGGACAATGCTCTCTGGCGGGTTGCTGGAGCATAGTAGTCCACCAGCTTCTTCCACAACACGAACCCATTCCTGTCCGCAGCTTCTGACCGGGAAAGATGCAATGCAGAGCCACGTATATAGGTAGCTTGTGAGTATACTGTACAACTTCCTAGCCAAGTCCCAATCTTGATCTGACCAATCTGCTGTCTCAACTGCATCTGAAGGCGTCAACTTATCAATGTCCTGTATTGATGCCAGAAACCTTCCATCAGCGTAGCTCAACCAATTCAGAAAACTGTGCCTCCAAGTGTTCCATGCAGTCTCGGATGTAGGGTCGAATTGTTCTGGTGATTTCAAGATCCGAGCTGCCGACTCCAAGCCTTTGGCTGTCGATGAGGAAGAGCTTGCCGCGAGGGACTCCGTGATACCCCGTACAATGACATCCTGCTTTTGCAACAAGGTACCAAATCCTGTCATGAATTGTCTGAATTGTTCACCATCCATTGCATCGCAACCGTAGCCACAACTCATCAAAATGAGAAAACTCAATCCACGAAATTGAAGCTTCTGTTCAAATCGTTTCCTTTTCTTCACCCCTGACGTCTTCTTTTTCAATTGAAATCCTTTCTTGCGTTTCCGACATCTCAGGCTCAAGCGCATCTGAAGCGTGCAAACTAACAGGGCCACTAAAGAAGACACCACAAGAACTGCTCTAAAGCTGTTGAATTCCGGTTGGATGCAAACTGCATACGCAACACCAAGGCAACGTTCTAACTGGGCTCCCAACAACAATGCCCTTGTCCGCTGCACCACTGTCAATGCTGCAAGTACTGTATGGTATTCAATGCACAATGTTGTATCAAACCACCAATCTTGTACATGTTCAATGAACAACTCAAAATCTTCTGAAAGCGCAAAGAATCTCAGAAAAATGAATTCCAACACACAGCAGTAAATCAAGGTCCGAACACCATGAATCACCTCCATGCGCACCCGGGGATTCCGCTAACCGTCACGATAGCGCTATTGCCCCTTCAGCACCTCCCCCGGGGCTTTGCCCGGGATCTTCAGTGCTCCGCTACCATGTTTGGTAGCACGCTTGTTTTGATCCACGCGCTTCGGTAGCGGAGTAGTTTTCAACTAGTAAACAGTGCACCAACTTGACTGTACATGTCTAGGTGTTCTATCACATGAAAAAGGTTAACAATTGAGCAAGGCACACTCGTCCCATAGAGTCATAGACGGCGCGACATCACCCAGAGGCTGGGGGGCTACCCCACAAGTTCTTGGTCCGTCCGCTGGCCCTCTTAGTAGCGATTCCCTTGTTACTATTATATAGTAGCTTCTTGTTACTAGTCAATGGCCTCCAACCTCTAGCGATGGCCTCCAACCTAGTAGCGTCTTGTTCCTAGTAGTGATGCCAGGAGCTACTAGTAGCTTCTCGCTGCATCGGTTTGGTGTGTGCCCTTACAGGTGCCCTGTGGAGGCACAGGTGCACTGTGGACTTCAGCCGTCACCTCGCCTTTCTCGCGCTCCGCCGCTTGGACTTCAGCCGTCACCCTGGGCGAAAAAAGGGCGGATCTCGTTGGAAGGGATAAAGCCCTTGGATCTGTCATAGAGGCATAGAGGAAAGAGAAGGGGCCCCGAAGTCTGGCTGATGGACCTAACATCCAGGATGTCCAAGTAGTATCCACTACAGTACCAATGAAGTAACCTCAAGTTCGACGAAATTGGAATATTCCAAGCCGAAGGTTCGGTTGGTAATAATTCGATGCATCTTGCTACTTACAAATGTTCGCTGGTTCAACGAGTCCTGGTTTGGTGTTGCGCGGAGTCTCGCGAATCCGCCGACAAACGACTGCCAGCAGGGACCGCTCAATGCCGCCCTTTGGGGCCTATTCAAAGCTCCTCGGTTCACCCCTGCGCCTGACCAAGCCATCAGGCATGGTGTTGGGCCGTTGGTTCTTGGGCGGATTGAAGGAGCCAAAGGCGCGCTTTCGGACCGCCTCCTCAACCCACAAGCGGCTTTCACGCGAGGAACTCAGGGTAGTATTTGTTCGCATGGAAGTAGCGCTGTGTGCGGGCGTGTGTTTTCTTGAGCCAACCTGTTATGGCGGTCTCGCCATGTTTCAAAAGCTTTGGAAGCTGTGCGAACTGTTCCGCGCTCCCCCTTGCGAGTCAACTCAACTACCCGGTCTTTGGCCAGGAAGAAACTGAACCCACACCATTTTCCGTGCAGGTTAGGAAGCCCATCCTTGTGCCACTCAGCGTCCAGGTAGATTAGCCGCTGAGAAAACGTCATGGTGCTTTGGTTGAGGAGCCATGCGACTGTCACCCTCAGGTACATCAGATCCCGGATGTCTTCCGGTGTTGACCTGTGTTCCGGATGGAACCTCTGCACCCTCAAGCTGTGTCGCCTGACCAACCATGTAGCCAAAGGAAGGCGCAAGTAGTCCCACATGTCCGCTCTTGGGACAGGCCTGAATTTCGTGGCCTCCTCGTCGATCACCTTGTCGAAGAGCTCTTGCGACCACCACACCGAAGGTTGGATCACCAACGTGTCTCCTTCACTTCCAACGGGAGGAACCATTCGTTTGACTGCCGGCCAATGTGGCCGATCCCAAGGCGACCGGCAGGCTCGATGTGGATTGTCTTGAGTCCCTTCAGATGGACGAAGAGGGCCTGGTTTTGGCGCCGTCACCCACGGAGGATATTGCTCCGACCACGCCGATCCCAACCTGGCCAGCCGAGTTGTCACCTCATTCCCTTGGTATGACGTCGAACTTTTGGATGTAATCCCCAATGCCGCCGCCCCACGCGCCGCTGCTTTGCCGCCCAGTCCCCCATCATCTCTGGTGAAGGACTCTTTCTGGGGTAGTGGCCCTGCTTCAGGCCCTCGATGGTTTCAGCGACATGCTGAACATACTTCGGCAGCACTGGTGGAGGTTTTGGCAAAGGGCCTGACACTCCTTGTACATACTTTGGCAGAATGGGAGGAGATTTCACCGGTGGCCCTCCATCCATCCCTTGCTCCTGCCCCGCTGAAGGCCGGGTAGTCGAAGACGAAGACGACGCACCACCGCCCTGGTAGCCTTGGTCCTCAGTCTCGCCAGCCCTTCCAAAGCGCAATTGAAGGCGTCCCCAAATGCCAAGGCGCGCGCTCGCAGCCTCTAGTTCTATTTCGGGAGCCTGTAGGCTACTGTTGGGGTCTTCTTCAATCTGGGACACTGAAGTCCAAGACCCTTGTGTGCGGCCCGACGCGACCCCCATTCATGGCCTCTTGATCGTTTCTTGTACTTTTTTCTTGTTCTTTTTGCTTCGACCCTTCTTGGTCTGTTTGTTCCCTTGTCAGACTAGTCCGCAGGGTACACAGTCGGGGTTTGATCATGATCGCGACTAGGGATTCGCCCCCGGAGGTACAGCTGGTGGTTTGGTTTGACCCTGGAAAACACGTGGTTTTGAATCCCCAGCGTTGGCCCCCCTCCTACCAAAAATCCCAAAAGCTTCTGCAGCTAAAGCGACACTCAGTGATGCCACCACAGCCACCTTGACAATCGGGTTGGGCCACCCAGAGAAGGCAGCACAGCTTGCTAAACGTAGCGCAACCTTCGATTTTCGTTCTTCTCTCCCAGGTCCACCATCTTGATGAAGTTGCGGAGCCGCTGCCAAGCCGTCTTCACAGCAATCGCCTTTGTGAGAAAGTCGGCGATCAGCCTTGTTCCCTCAAGATGGTAAATCTGCCAGGTTCCCAAGCGTGAACGCTCCCTCAAAGCGTAGGAACGAAGGCGTAGGTGACGTGTTCGCCATGGACCATCAGGTTGCCGAATAATGGCTATCGCCGCCTGGCTGTACCCATAACTGATCACCGCTGGTGGTTCTTCCACCCCTAACACCCCTGTCATCAATGCCTGGAGGCTGTCCCCCATCACTGATGATTCAATGTACGCCAGTAGTTTCGGCTTCAGCTGTCGATAAGGCCATACAGCCCTGCCTTGAAGATTCCCATTGTACCACTCCTCCTCCAATCATGGCCACAATGCCTTGAACACTTTTTTCACCTTGGGGGGCGTAGGACACATCACAGTAGATCTCCACCAGGTTCATGCTCCGTTCTCGAGCCAATGCCTCATCAGGGCCACGGTCCTTTTCCTTCCATCTTCCGTAGGCCAGGAAGCACTCGTCAGCGGCGTTCAGGTACTCCAGAATGTAGTATCCTGCCTGTAATGCCCAACGTGGTCTTTTCGTCACTGCTCTCCCCAGTGCTCCAATGACGAATGCACGGTCCAGACGGCTGCGCACAGCCACCCACAAAATTTCTCCAGCAATGGCTTGCGCCTGGCGAAGTTCTTCTATCTTGATGTTGTCTTCCTCCTCCACAAGGTGGGCATGTTCTTTCGGCATCCCCACCCCTAAGGGGGGGGGACCTGTCTAAATGTAAGCTACATTTTTTGCAACTTTGGGCTTAAAACATGTAAGTTACATTTTCTTAGGGACACCTTAAAAATGTAAGTTACATTTTTTGAATAAATGTAAGCTACATTTTTGGAGGTTCCGTTTTCTTGACGCCTTTCTGTGTTTTACCATTTTCCTCTAAACCTTCATCCTGTTCTTCCTGCTATTTTTAAGACTTCCAAGCCAGTGACAGAAGCATGTATGTAAAGTATGTTTTTATGGTGTCGTTATTGTTTTGGAATGATTTTGCTGTTTTTTCTCAAACCTTTGGGCAACTCCAGAGCTTTTTGACCTTTTGGTAGCCTTTCCAGGAGGCTTTGGGGAACCTGCCTCCATCCTTCGGAAAAGGAAAACCATACGAAAATCATATCAAAACTATATCAAAAATCAAAACAAAGCCAAAAGCGTTACACGTTTCTTATGGTTTTCTTATGACCCAGCCACCCTGGCCATCTCCCACCTCCACAACCCAACCTAGTTTCAAGCCTTTGAGCCATTCCAAAGCCTTTTGGCCTTTTGGTAGCCTTTCCAGGTGGTTTTCAATTTTCCATATTGATTGTTTATTTTCCCATATGCATCTTTAGTCTTGCTGTAGATATTTGTAGATTCCATATGTTGCCTTTCAGTGTCTAGGTGCATACCACTGGTTTAGACCCTCCAAAAATGTAGCTTACATTTTTGGAGGTTCCGTTTTTCTTAACACGTTTCTCTGTTTTCATTTTTTCCTCTAGACCTTTCTTCCTTCTCGTCCCGTTCTTTTCTGTATTTCTTTCCTTCTTCTTAGATACCAGTGGGCCCTAGGGCCATTACCCGCTTCCTGACGGAGCCGCTCATGAGAA